TTGCACAATCAAGGCATTCATTGAACTGTTAGTTGCCTTCTTTTTCTTGATTTCTTCCAACTTTTGCATGTAATATGCCTCATCATCTTCACCATCTCTTTTCTCAGCCATCTTCCTCAGCATGCAATCTTTGGCAAAGTGGTTCTTGCCATGACAGTAATTGCAGTCGAATCCAGAGTCTCCTGCAAGTTTGCTCTCCTTCTTGTCGTCATCCTTTTGAGAAGTATTCTTCGTTTCTTCTTTCACCTTCTCAGAACTGTAACTTCCTTGCCAGTTTCGGTTCTTATTGACAGGGAACTTCTTTCGTGCAAACTTCTTTGGATTGGTGACCATCATAGCATATTCTTCGCTTGTAAGGTCACACTCAGACATATCTGACTCCTCCTCTTCTTCTGCAACACTTTTTCCTTTTGAAACAAGGGCCAACGATCCCACACCCGAAACTACCTTCGCCTCCTTGGTTATCACATTCTCATGGGATTTAAGTATGCCCACAAGTTTCGCTAGTGAGTAAGATTTAAATTGTTCGTGAGCTTTCACTGTTGAAACCACTGCCATCCATTCTGGTCTAAAACCATTCATGAAGGTTACTTTTTGCTCGATCAGTTTCCTTTCTATACCATGCTTGATCAGCTTTCTAAGGAGATGATTGAAGCGATCGAAGGTTTGTATCAGTTTTCTCTTCAGGTTTCTGTTCGAAAACTCCAAATTCTGAGAGCAGCAAGGTTTGAATAGAGTGTTCTAGATCTTCATCGGTTGAGTACAGTTCCTTCAACCTATCCTAGATTTCTTTAGCCGTCGTGCATGAACCAACTATCTGAAAAGTGTCAGATTGCAGTGCGAATCTGATCATTCTCATGGCTTTCACATTACATAGCAGCTTGTCCTTTTCATCCTGTGGCATCTTATCTACGTCCGCCACAAGCTTATTATATTCTTTTTGAGTCTTGACTGTCGTGTTCGTTTCGGAGTGAACAAACGGCCCAAGTGTGATTGCTTCCCAGATGAGATAACCATTATCTTCAGATCCAACCACGTAATCTTCAAAGTGATGCGCCCATACTTCATAGTCTTGAGTGTAAAGAATGGGAACCCTTGTAGTGGATCCAATGTTGTTAGAGATGTTGATGGGATTAGTTTGAGAGTCTTCGTGAGACATGGTGAGCCTTTCCTTAGAACCGCTAGAATCAGACCTGTAAACTTGAGATTAGGGTTTTATCAAACACAAGAGTTACCGTCGACAGGAAGAAGACAGCTTCTTTATATTCGATAAAAGCGGAAACCCTAAAGAATTCTTAACACAGAAGGAATGTGTATTGATCACACAGTCTCCTGCTCTGATACCAATTGTTAGAACAAAGTTCTACTAGGATCGATAGATTCTAAGCAGATAAACAATTAAAGACGTAATGAAGAACACAGGAATGGTTTAACTGACGTCGAATGATTAAACTTTAACACCTCAGAAGAGCTCGATTAAGAACTTCGACTGTAGAGGTATTTAGGGTTACAAAGCAATAATATCTATAATCACGTCGTAACTAAGGTATACATGCATGCACTATTTATAGTTTAACCCTACATAATAATCACGGATGGACAGCCCAATCCGGATGTACAATACTAAGCCCATGACGCAAAATAACATACCCAACAGGCTACACAACCGCAAACATGATCAATAAGCTGCACGACAAAGTCTAATGTTTCGATGGCGGTTATCATGACATTATAATTTTTATCAGAAGCCATGAATGCCTTCATCAAAATCTGACCATCATAAAAACCTACAACATGCTCGGTTTGTCAACATACAATTATTATGGAAGAGAAATGCAAATATGTTTATTTTTTAACATATAATCACCCCTCTTGTGATGTAACTCACATGTAGCACAAAATTACGTACAACTTTCATTTTGACATTCATTTCAATTGCTAAGAAACAAATAACTAAGACGATCTTTGTTATAAAGTAGACGTGCTTTGATACCACTTATTATAAAATAGATCAACTATTAATGAGAAAAGCATAATCGAACAACCACATGAACACTACGATGTAAAGTGGAAAACCGGAAAGGGGAAAAACCACTATGAAATGGACACTCTTATAAACGGTTACAATGTTGATAAGTCTCCAAGGAATAAAGGAGAGAAAGAAGATGTTGGAATGAATAAAATAAGACATCTATGTGGCTTTATATAATAGTCTTACAAAGAGTCCTAAACAAACTCTAAAACCTTGGAAATACGAAACATTCCTAATATATGACTAACTTGATAGCCAAGTTAAAGGTTTAGGCTCATTATCAACAAACTCCCTCGTGAGACGAAACCGATCTTCAACAAAAAACCTTCAAACTTTAGAAGACATAAGTCGAATAATAAGAAGCGCCAAAATCGCTAAGGACTAAACTCTCTCAAATGGCAAAGACAAAAAAATTGTGAAAAATCAAATCACCAAAATCCCAATGGATACGAACCTTCAAACTTGACGCAAGTATCTCGAAAATACCTTTAAGGTATTATAAACTCATCAAAGACAATTGTAACGATGCCAACCCGCTTGTGCCAAAGTGGTCTTCATGCCATATCAAGAACATGCCACCGAATACACTCGCAAACTAAACCGATACCTTGCTAAAATAAGGCTCTATCCAAAATTAGAGATAAGATATTAAATAAGTAAAAACTTCAAACCGAATTTCATATGGCATAAACGTCTTTCGACCCTAATAACTTTCAGTATCATAAATTTGAAAAATACCCGATGGTATTAAAATCCTAAAAATATCTTACGATATTAAACGCTTAAAAACACCTTACGGTATTAAAGTCTTGAAAATACCTTACAATATTAACCGTGGAGTATTAACTGTGGGAGGTTACACTTGTCACACAATGTTTTGGTAATGATTTAGGGGATAGGGGATAAGAAGGTGAATGGACGAGGAGGTTTTGGTGTGGGTAAGACGTCCGACATGGATTGGAAAGTGGTCATTGTTGGTGTTGATGGTGTGATAGTGGTTGTTGGTAGTTTCATAAGATATGTTATAACAGATGAAGAACATGAGTTTGGAAAGTGTGGTTTTGGAAATATAAGTTTATATTCTAAGAGTTTGACTAACCCATATGCTCGATGAAGGGAAGTGGGGTGATGAAGGGCTAACTCGTTCTGAATGTCAGCAATATAAGCAATATAGAGTTCAGCAGCACACATAGAGACCAGAGAGGAAGCAATTTAGAAGGGCATTGGTATCAAGGCCTGTGATGCACTTGCTGATTTTTTCGAACTCTAATTGATAGGCCGAAACAATGGTCAATTGTCGAAGTTTGAAGAGGACGGCTTGATAGTTCTTTTATATGGAAGATCCGAGCGGAGTTCCAATGCTCGAGATAACTCCGTCCATGTGCCCAATAGGCGGTTGTTGGTTAGATGCTTGTACCGACTCAAGGCATCTAGGGTGAAGTAAAATACGACAATGGCAACTCGTTGAGCCTGTGCGATGGTATAGTAATCAAAGTAGTTATTCGCTTGGAAAATGCAATCTAGTTGGATGTTACAATAGAAGTTGGATATTTTGGTGATCGGAGGTGCTTTGTTGGTGGTGGTGGTGGTTTTTGTTTTTGTTTTTGTTGTTGTTGTTGTTGTTGTTGTTGTTGTAAGGATGTTGACAAGTTGATCCAACTTGGTGGCGGTAGCGAGGGAGAGACGGATAAGGGTTACCATTAGGTCTTGGAGGGCGGAGTTGGGGTTGTTAGAGGTGGAGCTTGATTAGGTTTTGGGAGGCATTGAAACGGAATTAAAGCACCAATTGATAGCAAGCCAATTTGAGATGGCGAATCTCCTAAGAGAAAGTAAGAACAAGAAACTTTGGGTCATTTTTCTGCTTACTTTAACCAAAATGTAGGGTACAATTTACAAAAACATGAAATATGTTGTTCTAGCTAAAATTAAGGAAATCTGCATGCAGGAACAATCGTTAGCTCGTAACTTAATGCAATTAGCTTTTATCGGAAAAGTGGAAGTAGGCCAAGTCTTCAAGTATGTGGAGTTCCATACTTTTGCTTCAATCCTTCTAATGGGTTAGTGTCTTTATTTGTCTCTTGGGTCTTTCAAACTTATTTTTTGATGGACTTCAATTTGTTTATGACTCTTGTATAGTGGGTTTATGAGCCGTATCACTTCCCCACGGTTGAGTTGACAATGCCCCTGTAGCGCCCATGCAATATTGCCATCGTTGCCATGTATATAAAAAGAATACGGATGACCGCTTCCTGTTACGCCCGTTATCACCATTTAATTTTCATACATGGCTACAAAAAATATGGATGAATTTAAATGTATTAGAAGAAATTTTTCTTCGTCAAACAAAAGCTTATTATGTGTACAGATTATACTGATTGTAGAGTCATAAATGCTCTTTTTCCATAATTAGTTCATACGGCTAACTTTAAAACAACAAAAAATATATTTTCATTATATTCAATTCCATACAACTTGTTTTGAACTATATTTAATTGTAGCAAAATTTATCATTATTTACCATATAATGAATTATCTAGTATTGTGAAAGAACACCTATAAACTTAGTTCTTATTTGGTGTAATGGTTGACGAAAGAAATCATGGGTTTTCATATCCTGATCATCTGAAGCCTCGTTTGGACAATGCAAAGTGTGACTTATGGTGTGTTGATGCGGCTGGACTATGAAGATGTTTCCTATTATTTAATTTTCTTACATATATAAAAAGAAATACCGTGAGTCAAAATACATAGCGTTCATTATATGTACAAGATTGTAGAGGGATCAACCATGCAATGAAGAAAACAAAAACAAAATTCAAGGTGGACGTATTAGCAAACAACCAAACTGAAAATATCTCATTAGAAGCATTTGAGAGTACATCAAGACACCTAGTGCACAAGGGTGCTTATTGTAATTATATTTATGAAACAAGATACGATCTTAAAATATAAAGCAATTATACGAGTTGCACATCAAAACAAGATAACACAACAATTTCACAAACACATCTCTCCGGCAGTGGCGGAGCCACAGCATGGACCCCACTTGAAAGTTGATATTAACCACATTTTACTAATTCATAAATGCTCTTTTTCCATAACTAGTTCATATGGCTAACTTTAAAACAACAAAAACTATATTTTCATTATATTCAATTCCATACAACTTGTTTTGAGCTATATTTAATTGTAGCAAAATTTATCATTATTTACCATATAATCAATTATGTAGTATTGTGAAAGAACACCTATAAACTTAGTTCTTATTTGGTGTAATGGTTGACGAAAGAAAACATGGGTTTTCATGTCCTGATCATCTGAAGCCTCGTTTGGACAATGCAAAGTGTGACTTATGGTGTGTTGATGCGGCTGGACTATGAAGATGTTTCCTATTATTTAATTTTCTTACATATATAAAAAGAAATACCGTGAGTCAAAATATATAGCGTTCATTATGTGTACAAGATTGTAGAGGGATCAACCATGCAATGAAGAAAACAAAAACGAAATTCAAGGTGGACGTATTAGCAAACAACCAAGGTGCTTATTATTATATATATATTAAAATTCTGAAGAATAGTAACAGTATACTCCCTAAGGAGTTGGCAAAATTGGTCCCTTTCATTTGCTGTAAATCGGAATTGGTCCACCTATTTATTGAAATGGCAATTTGGTCCTTGTAAGAATAACAGTTTTTAATGTTCAGTCCATGGATCGTCAACGCGTTGTCTTCTCTTTCACCACCACTGTTCATTCAGCAAACGTGTCATCTTCTCTTTTACCTCGGGTTACTCTCCTATACCATCGTTACCGCTTCCCGATCCTTCCCACCGCCTCTCTTACCAGGTTCACCTCCATCGTCTCTTTTACCTCGCTCCCCGATCCTTCCCACCGCCTCAAATAATCTCACCGTCAACGTTCGTCCATTTACCGTCTCCCTCGCCCAATTACGCCGCTCTTCTCCTCCAATAATATCCTCCACCGCCATTGACCGACGCCTTCATATTCTCGATTGACCATAAAATAATCACAGACCCACGACCTCTACATCGATTTCGCTATTCATTATTATCTTCTCCACTTCTTCCATATTTTCCCCGATTTAAACACCACCTGCTTCCCCGATTTTGCATCATCACTGCAACGTCTTCGTCCCAGGGTTCCTATGGATTAATCATTGTTTACGTGAGGAGTAACCGTAAATCGATTGATGCGTCACCTCCGATTAGAAGTAGTCCTGACATAATGACAAAGTGGTTTGGTGGTGGTTCTTTGGATCAGGGCGCTGACGACGCAGTTTTCAAAAAATTAGAGGTTTTTTCAAGGAGTTGCCTCCGATGTTATGGGTATGTTCGTATTCTCTGTGTTGCAGTGACTCACAGAAGGAATCGGTGGTTGCTGGAATATGATTTCTACTTATTTCTTCCCAAAATAGATGCGCTTCATCTTGAAAAGTTGAAGTGGGTTTAGCACACAACTCCATGTGTTTCAATTTCTAAATTATTAAATCTGATTTATTTAATCTTTCAATTTATTATCGTTATCAGCAATTGATTAGTTGACTGCATATCTTGAGAACCCAGTTTTTGATTATCGTATTGCTCTCTGTCTCTCATCAGCTTTTTCATATTTATCTTTAAATTCCACCACATGTACCACATCTTTTTATCACCCTCAATAACAACTTCCAATTTAATCTTTCCCCTGCAAAAACAATCGTTTCTTTACGTTGATTTTGTTTCATATTTGTAGGTGTTTGACGAGATGAGAAAGCAGGAACAACTATGTGTTTTCATGATTATTAGAGAAATTTGAAGAAACGGAAGAAGCGGAGTAGGTGTTTGATAAAATGCCTATTTGAAATCTGTGTTTGAAATCAATAAATGGTAAGTATTCTTATCAATTTCAACCATGTTTCTCCACCAACTCAAATTTGTCATCCATTTGCAAATTTATCTTTCAAAGTTTACATTCTATTATCATAACGTCTATGTTTCTTTGAAGACTAATATGCCCTCAAGAAGGTAATACGCATTCCTTATTCATTCCATCATGTAATGAAATAAAAACTTACAATATAACCTAATTTTATTTATGTAGTTTGTTGACATAAATCTTTTCAAAACTAAAAATAAGTCTCCAATCTTTAAATTAACAAAATAACCTTTTTAAGTTCTAACAATCTTAAACATTTGTAGCTTATAAGTATGACAAGGGTAGCCATGACAAAGGCCCGTGGACATATTTTAGCAGCCATCGATTGGCTCAATAAATATCTTGAGATGTAAGAACAAAATCCCAAACGTTCTTTATTTTTGTTCTTATTTATTATAAAATTCAATGAGGTCTCTTTATTTATTTATTTATTTATTTTGCCTAGATTCATGGCAGGTCATAATGCCTGGAGAGAACTTGCTGAAATATATGTTTCATTGCAACTGTGAGTGCTTCATTAATTTATATGTGGATAAAAAAAGACAAATTTGCCCCTGGGGCTTATCACAGTTTCTGTGGTTTTATAGGTACAAAGTTATGAGGAGTTGATCTTATCTCTACCAATCATTCCTATACATCATCTTGCTTATGCTGATGTAAGTATTTACTATGAACATAAACAGTTGTATACATAAAAAAATCTGGACTGAATAAACTTTCCGAAAGAGAGTAAATGACCATTTTTACTTCACACTTAAAAAGATGTTACAATATTCATCAGTTTTAACGTGATAGGATTTGGGAGGAAAAAAGGTCAAATAATATAATTGACAGGTGGAAAAAAATCAGAGCACTTTTTGGTCTTTACTTGGTGAACTCTCTTTCATTTTGAAATAATTATTCAATTTTTTATAAATATTGCAGTTTCATCAAAGTTTATTTTTTGGTCAGTTTACCATGCCCTGTGTTCGATGAATTGTTTAAGAGAATTCTTTTAATTAAACCCAGTTGATTATGAGGGATTGACATTAGGTTGTTTTAATGTGATCAGACAAAGTTGGGCATGAGTACATGAGTGGCGGAACCGAAAGTTACTGTTATGGACACATTCCAGATTGTGGTGGGTCGGCTAAAAGGGGATACTCAATTGGGCATGATTGCAGAATTTCTGCACAAAAACTACATGTGTTAACTTTTGTGAATAGTATCTAATTCCATGTTAACACCACATATTATTTAGCATGAAACCATACGTTAACCTAAATTTTCTTTTCCAGGATGCAATTTATCGGGAAATTGTTGGTGTAAGCTTTGATGTTGTGCAATACGGGTAATGTATTATAACGTGGATTGCCTTTTGTTGGAATTGGAGGGATCTTATTTGGTTATCATACTGGTAAATATGATGTTTTCCTTCATTTTATTTTTATTTTATATTTTTCTTATTTACATTGATAATTTTACTACCAAACAGGGGACAAGAAGCAGAGAAGCATACGCGGTTGCAGGTAAACTACAAATGAGATCCTTTCTTTTTAATTTATAAAATTCAGTGCTGAACCCTTCTATCTAAGCTTTGGATAAGAATAACAACCTACTTTTATTTCCTATTTTACCAATACCAATGTACTTTCAGTTTTTTGTCGAATATAACATGATACTTTCATTTTCTATTTTGTCAAATATAAAAAAATGCAAGTAGAGTGCTGTATATGGGTATCTACTAAAAACTACAAACCATCAGGCCATTTTTTGTGGCATGACATTTATGATTTTATATGAGAGGAGATGCAGCGAAAAGTGGACCAGTGGGTCAAAGAATTGCACAAGGAACGAAACTGATTGCAGAAGAATTGCGTCCTACATCTCATGTTATTTATTCTGCCTCTGCACTTTTAGGATAGCTCATGTAAACCTTCATATTCTATTAGTCATATTAACTTATTTAAGCTCCATATTCTGTAACTGAATTTCTGAGATAGGCTTTTTTGTTTTGATTTTCAGGATCATTGGAGACCACCAATTTTGTTCTTCTGATAAACACTGTGTTCTAATTAAAGCTTTGAGTAACACTTTGTGCAAATCACACAAGCAATTAAAGAAGAAAAGATTCAGAAATAAAGTTAATTCGATCTTTGGAAGTCATATTCATCCACAAACATCATCAGGAAATGACTATAGTTGCACACAACAGCAACAACTTCCGACCCCGGCAACGCGGGGGGAACGCATCTAGTTGTAATTATGTTTCATATTATATTTATGAAACAAGATACGATCTTAAAACATAAAGCAATTATACAGTTGCACATCAAAACAAGATAACACAACAATTTCACAAACACATCTCTCCGGCTTCTTTATTTTGACAAGGTTATACCACGTCGAAAACCATGTATGCAGGCTGCAAATACATGATATTGGTCCGCGTTACTAATAGGGATGAAGAATGACACTGAAAGAGTCGAGGTAATCCCCGTAGTTTCCGCTGAATCCACCAAAGCTACCCTTAGCGACTGGCAGCGAGAAACTAGTCCCCTGGGTTGTGCCATATGGCCCATACTTCTTTGTGTTGGTTAGGAAAGACAATGACGTAATCACAGTGTAGCCACCATATACTCCCACAGTTCCGCTAATCTCGATGAGGTTCTTATCATCAGCAAATGTAAACTGAAGATATACCCGAATAGATGATAAATGACGTATGATAAAACTAGAATATAAGTACAGTACATGTTTAGGTAACAGATGTAATGAAAGCTCACTATACCGTATGAGATGAACCACCATCACCACCATATGTTTCAGAATGGTGTTTGACATTATCACGATCCTTGTAAGTGAACCTGATTGAATCTACACAGCCTAAGGCGCTGATACAGATCTCGCAAATCCTGCCACTAGGGATGAATGTCCAGGGATTAACTCCACCCTTACCTCCCCACGGTCCAACCTGTACGCCATTGCCTGCCTGCATATAGGCCGAAATAAAATATAACTAAGAAGTGGAGAAATCTTAGCAATGAACAGATGAAGTACACCAGGTTAACCATAAACCCAGCATTTCCAAATATATATGGTGAAAGAGTATACCATGTTTGATCTGAATGTATTCTCAAAGAAAAAGATGAAAGTCGTGGAAGGTAATAAGTTATACATCTAGCCCCATTAAGAGAAGGACTATTTATAGACCTGATCAGGTAGGGTTTTTAAAGTATAATGGATTAAGATAAAATGTCTGGTCTTTCTGTAATGAAAACATAAAAGTTTATATTGATTTACTATGATTTGGTAAATGTTATTCTTTAGTAAAAGATGTCGGTAGAAGATGTTAGGGTGTAGTAATTCACTACAACATTAACACCCTATGGCAACGACAAATTCGGACCCTATGGCGACGACATGTCGTCGTTATACGGTATGCCGACGACTAGTCGTCAGTATAGTGTCGTCGGGATAGTCGTGTCGGCATAGGTCAATAGTGTCGTCTGTAACAACGTAAATTTTCAAAACCAATTTTTTTCATTTTTAAATCATATTTTCAATCATCAAAACAATATCAAACTGCTGTGTCCAATGTTATCATAACAAACAAGTCCCAGAATCTCAAAAACATTATCTCTATGAGTGTGTACGGATCATGCCGGCGCCTTCCCACGATCATCGCTAGTACTTGAAACACATAACACAACAACTGTAAGCATAAATGCTTAGTGAGTTCCCCAAAATACCATATATAACACATACGCCTTTCCAGGTCATAACTCTGCAGGATCTTCCGATCCAAGTGTCTCAGGGGACTTCCGTCCCGAATCCCGGTAGACCTTCCGGTCCTACCAGTATCGACCTTCCGGTCTGTAACCTCCTGATCTTCAGGTCCATGTCATACATAACATACATAACACCTACATATCACATAACAGCATATAGCACATACATCTCATAGCATACAAGACCTTCCGGTCACACATAGGTACCACTCTGGGTACAATATAGTGAGAAGACTCACCTCGGCTATCACGGATAATCTCGCACACGTATATACTGATTTAGCCTCCGCCTAAACACATAAACAATTATCTCAAATCAGTAACGGCTTTCCAGGCTAGACTAGTCTCTTCCATATCCTCTAAGAAGGCTAAAAGACCATTTTACCCTTCAATGGTCCACCAGTCCAATTGTTGACCAAACCCTAAAAGTCAACAAAAGTCAACGGTCAACTTTGACCAGACTCGCCGAGTGCACTCGTGTGACTCGGCGAGTCCATGCATGTCCTCTTCGCCCCTGGTCCTCACTCGACTCGCTGAGTAAACCCTACACTCAACGGGTCATCACCGGTCGCGAATCGCGGGGCAACCCGACTCGACTCGTCGAGTCCCTTATGGGCTCGGCGAGTTCCTCCCATGACAACACTCATCTGACCTCTTGAGGTCAGATCTGCTTCTCTAATCTATAGATCTGACTTCCCCATGACCAATAAACACGTAAAGGTCGAAACGTGCTACACATGCAATGCTCCCAAGGCTTATTTTGGTGAAATCCCTTCTAACATGGCAACCTATGTCCATTTCCTCCATAGAACCACAAAAAGCAGCATGGTTCAGGCTCTCTGGACCTCAAAAGGTCCAGATCTAGAGTTTAGCACTCAATGGGACACTATACATAACTAAACAAGCCATAAAAGGGTATAGAAAACCCTAAATTCAATGCCCTTAAGCAAAACAGAAGGATAAGATCAAATAGCTACCTCAAACTTGAAGATCCAAGCCGAAAACCCATTGAAATGCAATCCTCTTGACCTCCCCTTGCTGGAAACACTTTCTCCTTTTGCAAAATCACACCAAAAATGATCAAAAGGCTCAAACTATCTCTCACAACTCGCTCACAATCGCTAGGGTATCTCTCCGGACTGGTAGCCGCAATTGGAGGCCATAAAGGCCTTTAAATAGGGCTCAGGCCCTGAGATTTAGGGTTTCACTTTACAGCAAGGACTCGCCGAGTCCACGCATCGACTCGTCGAGTCCCTCATTAATCCAGACAAGAATTCGCGATCCTACTCGGCGAGTCTGAGCGCCTAGTCGCCGAGTCCCTCCTTAAAACTCAAGATAAATACTTAAAATAAGATACATGGGAATCCGGATGTTACAATTCTCCCCCACTAGAATCAGACTTCGCCCTCGAAGTCTCATTCTACAAACAGCTCTGGATGAAGCTTCCGCATCTCCGCCTCCGGCTCCCAAGTCAGCTCGGACCCCTTTCGATGCTGCCACTGAACCAGAACCAGTGGCACTTCCTTGTTTCTCAAAACCTTGATCTTCCGATCCACCACCGCGACTGGCCTCTCAACATAATTCAGGCTCGCATCCACCTAAATATCCTCCAATGGTACCACCGCCGACTCGTCGGCTATACACTTTCTCAACTGAGACACGTGGAAGGTATCATGTATCTGACTCAACTCCGCAGGTAGCTCCAACCGGTATGCTACCCTGCCCACCCTCGCAGTCACCCTGAACGGCCCAATATACCGGGGCCCCAGCTTGCCCCTCTTCCTGAATCGAATTACTCTTTTCCAAGGAGACACTTTCAGGAGTACGAAGTCTCCGACCTGAAACTCGAGCTCGGATCGTCGCCTATCCGCGTAACTCTTCTGGCGACTCTGAGCTGTCAACAACCTCTGCCTGACCTGCTGTATCTGCTCTGACGTCTGAAGCACTATCTCAGTGCTGCCCATCACTCGCTGTCCTACCTCTCCCCAACAGATGGGAGTCCGACACCTCCTCCCATACAACAACTCGAAGGGAGGCATACCAATGCTCGAATGGTGACTGTTGTTATAGGAAAACTTAGCCAACGGAAAATACGTGTCCCAACTCCCTCCGAAGTCCAACACACATGCCCGAAGCATGTCCTCGAGCGTCTGAATCATCCGCTCGCTCTGTCCGTCTGTGGGTGGTATGCGGTACTGAAATGCAGCCTCATACCCAACTCATCATGGAATTTCTTCTAGAACCTGGAAGTGAAACGCACATCTCGATCCGACACGATCGAGATCGGCACTCCATGCAACTCTTCCAGCCTCATACCTCCCTCACATACAACTCTTCCAGCCTCTCAGCAGAAGAGCTCTCACTGATAGCAAGAAAATGCACGCTCTTCGTCAGCCGGTCGACGATCACCCAAATTGCATCGACACCCCTCGCGATCCTCGGCAATTTGGTGATGAAATCCATAGAAATCTGTTCCCACTTCCATTGGGGAACCTCTAGTGGCTGCAACTTGCCATGCGGACGCTGGTGCTCGGCCTTAACCCTGCGACAGGTCAAGCACCTCTCAACAAACCATGCTACATCCCTCTTCATACAAGGCCACCAATAATCTTTCTTCAGATCCACATACATCTTAGTGGCCCCGGGATGGATCAAGAATCTCGATCTATGCGCCTCCTCCATCAAGGTGGTGCGCACCCCGCCTGCATACGACACCCAAATCCGATCTTGAAAGGTCATAAGCCCGCGGCTATCGGTAACGAATTCAGGTACCTGCCCAATCACCCGCTCTCTCTTGCGGTTCTCCGGTCTCACAGCCTCTGCCTGGGCCTCCTGAATGGTGTCCAACACCGGAAATCATCACTGTCAACCGCATACAAATGTCTCGAATCGGGGCACTCTCCGCCCTACGGCTCAGAGCATCAGCTACAACATTAGACTTGCCCGGGTGGTACAGGATCTCACAATCGTAATCCTTTACCACGTCCAACCATCTCCTCTGGCGCATATTCAGATTGGGCTGATCCATCAAATACTTCAAGCTCTTGTGGTCCGTGTATATGGTACACCGAACCCCATACAAATAGTGACGCCAGATCTTGAGGGCGAACACCACTGCCCCCAGCTCCAGATCGTGGGTGGGATACCTCGTCTCATGAGGCTTTAGCTGCCTCGATGCATATGCTATCACATGCCCCCTCTGCATAAGTACTGCACCCAACCCTGATATCGATGCGTCACAATACACCACAAAATCCTCCATCCCTTCCGGGAGGGCTAACACAGGGGCTTCGCATAATCTCTGGCGAAGTGTCTCAAACGAGGTCTGTTGCTCCGGACCCCACAAAAAAGCAACACCCTTCCGGGTCAACCTAGTGAGAGGCACGACGATCTTGGAGAAATCCATGATAAATCTCCGATAATAGCCGGCCAATCCTAGAAAACTCCTGATCTCAGTGGGTGATCTCGGCACCTCCCATCTCATAACTGCCTCAATCTTGGCCGGATAGACCAATATCCCATTCTGGTTAACGAGGTGCCCCAAGAACTGGACCTCTCGTAACCAGAAATCACACTTGGAGAATTTGGCGAAAAGCCTCTCCGACCTCAATACCCCGAGAATCTCTCTCAGATGCTCCTCGTGCTGCTCTCTAGATCTCGAATACACCAAAATATCATCAATGAACACGATCACCGACCGATCCAGCATCGGTCTGCACACCCTGTTCATGAGATCCATGAACGCTACTAGTGCATTGGTGAGTCCAAAAGGCATCACCACGAACTCGTAATGCCCATAACGAGTTCTGAACGCCGTCTTCTGGATATCTTCATCCCGCACTCTCATCTGATGATATCCCGACCTCAAGTCTATCTTGAAGAACCAAGACGCTCCATGCAACTGATCGAACAGGTCATCAATCCTCGGTAAAGGATAACGGTTCTTGACCGTCAACTTGTTCAACACCCGATAATCAATGCACATCCGGTGTGAACCATCCTTTTTCTTGACAAAAAGGATCGGCACTCCCGAAGGGGAACTACTCGGTCTAATAAACCCCTTCCCCAGCAGCTCCTGAAGCTGCGAGGATAACTCCTGCATCTCCGGCGGCGCAAGGCGATAAAGCGCCTTGGCGATAGGCGCTGCCCCCGGAACCAAATCGATACGGAACTCTGCCTCTCGGGAGGCACACCCGACAGCTCCTCGGGAAAAACATCCGGGAACTCACGCATTATCGGCACATCATCAACAGAACTAGGCCTCTCCGCTGCTACTCGTGTGTCCATCACGTAGGCCACAAACCCACTACAACCCTGCTGTAGAATCTGCCTCGCTCTAGCAGCCGAACAGAATGCTGACCCTGAACGGGTACCCTCGTCGTACACCGTAAGAGCTCCCCCACTAGGGTCTCGTATCGTCACCAACTGTCGCTCGAAGTCTATAACAGCCCCAAAACAGCTTAACAAATCCATGCCCACTATGACACACACATCCCCCATCGCAATTGGGACCAGATCTATCGGGA